ACCAAACAGTGGCCCCAGAATGTAATCGGTTTTAGTGAAAATCGACATCAAACCCACGGGGGGACTTATGTTCCCCCTGTCTGCTGATGCAACAGCTGAACTTTCTCTGCAGTCTGTAGTTTTCAGTTTTCTATTCTCCAGTGCCACACTGCATAAGATCCGCCTGTGTAGTTGTCCTCGGGCCAAATGTTCAGATGCTAACTGGCTGCTGGGTTCCTTGGTTGCCCGATTATTTCTGTCTGATCTCTAGTTGTTTGTTCGTTCAGTAATTTTTGGTTGTTCGATTTATTGATTCTCTGATTGTTCGTTTCTAAGTGCTGGTTGTTTGGTGCGTTATGATCCGTCTTTACCCTTTCTCGAGCTACTTGGTTTTTCCAGATCCCTCGTTCCTTTTGGCCTATATGGCCCCTGGATTATTTGTTAGTCTGCCCTCTGACACTCGAACAACGTAAATTCCCCATTTCTGTTGATATTCCTTTATATAATCTGTAATTTTCTTAACCATCAAATTATCTGTTACATTTCCGTCCTTCTCTATCCCTCAGCTCTTCGCTTCACTGCACCCTGAAATCTCATTTGTGCCCTCAACTTCTTAGCATTTGTCTGACTGTAAGCATTCAACAGAAACCTTCTCTTGATATCATAAGTTGTCTGCTGCAATATCAAGAAGTTTGAGAGATATTCGCCTATGGTGATGTGTGATGTATTTCTTTTAGATGGTTAATGACGTTTTAGAGGAACGTATCGCCTCAGTCTCAAGGAGACGCCACACACACGGTCACAACCCCAGAAGACACATTCCACCGCCATCAAAACTTCAAACGTTTAAGGAGAGGTGCGATTATCTCAATTTTTTGTCTTTATAATGTAAAAGTTCTTTTCGGTAAAGGCGACCCTATTTCACGTCAGGCTGTAACATTAGGAAGTTTCAGATGGTATTTTTGTATCCGTTATTTAAATTTATTATCTCTGAATGTAAAACAATAAAGATTCATAAGCACCAGACCATGTACCGCGTCTGGCACTCAAATAAACCATACCAAGCCGATCCAGAACGTTCAAAGTCAGTCATGGATATTTCTAATCAAAGAGTCTTTCGTTTTGGTGTTTTGTAGTTTTGCTTACACATTCTTTACACTTGATGCATTTAATCAACACATAATGGAACGGTCTTTCAACTCGAAATTCAATTATATGTCATTTTTAAATTCATTTATTAAAATGTTGAATAAATGATGTTGTGTATGAAAAGCTGATTCTTTAAAAATACTTTTTAGTCAAATTCATTGTTTACGGCATTGACAAATACTGTTCATTAAAGAAAAGGAAAGTTGGTAATAAGTTAATTATTGCTATAATAGTGAAGTCGAAAGTAAATAGACCAGCGTGTATTAAAAGACGAAGTATGTATCGGCCATTTTCCTTTCTTAAGTGAAACATTTCTGAAACTGGAAGAAATACAAAGAAAGTATCATTTTTGTGTCCAATAATTAGTCCTGAAAAAAATGGCTGCGAGAAATTCACAAACGCGGGATGCGAAATCACGAAGAAAATGCGTGTTTGAAGCGCACATTTCCACTCCTACCGGCGCGGAGGCTGGGAGGGGGTGGGGCGTTGTGCAAGAGAAGGGAAATCCTCTTGGATGTGGGTCAGTGGGTCTCTCAGAGAGGAAAAGTGAGCTAGACGAGGAGGATGCTTGCGTGACCTTCCCCTGACGTCATCGACAAATATGAGTGAATCTCTTCAATTTTCGCTAAGGATATTCCTGCATTGAAATTATTTCACAGGGCTTTATCAGCTGCGAAAGTTGCACAGAGTCGCGGTCGATTGATCTGCACACTGCTTCGTAGTCGGGAGGTCCCGTGTCCATATTCCGGCCAGGAGGCCAGCTGTTCTGAAGATAGTACATTAAATTTGGCAGCGATCGCTTCCTTTCACATTCTTTCCGATTCATTAATCATTCTATCATTCGGCGTTGAAGAGTTTGAGCTAAATAAACCCACTTTTATGTATGGGTTTCACGTGGTTTTCTTCTGGACTTCAGTTCCTTGCATTTCTCTTGGTTTTAATTGCGTACGAGTGTGGTGTGTTGTAAGTTGTGATTGTGTACCATGAAGATGAAGTACTCTTGCTAATATTTTCATGGCCCCCCTTTTGGGATTTGGCTAACATTTTTGAAAAAGTCACGCTCCGCCACTGGAACACAGGATGCATTTTGTAGCAAATTACAGGCCTTCTAGTGGGCGTACTAGGATGACCCGTGGAGCCACATCTGTTATGTAACTCTGGAACGCGGAACATGATTGACGTAGTATGTGGTGTATCGCACTCACAGATAATAACCACACTTCTGCTTGTAGCATGGTCACTTAAGGTCCCCGATCCTCACCTGGTTTATACAGTAAATGCCAGTACCACAAGGGAATTAATCCCTATTACTGTACATTAATACCCAGAATTGTAAACAAGTAGTAACTAATTCGTGTTTATGTTATATCTCACTGTCAGAAGAAAACCACGTCACTCTTTGCAGTAGGGCGGTCATGGTTTCGCGATTCCGTACTTGATGCCAGTGCTGTTCAAAAGTAACACTGCGGTTTCATTTACATTTACATGTTCGTACCATTCTACATTTATAATTATTTATGTTGTAGGTGAGAATTCTAGAAGTTAAAGAAAAATGACGAACGTAACAAGAAAATAGCTTAACGTAGGAAAATTATAAGTGTAAATAAAACGGCAGTTAAAATTATTTATGTTAAAATGTGCTCTAAACTGTAGCAAAGTAAATAAACTGAGTCTAGGTTAAGTACTTCAGGCTATCAGGTTAGTGTTTGACGCTAATCAAGATCACGTAGCACGGAATGAGAACATAAATGACGAATGAAGAATAATATCGAAGAAGGGAGCGTAGTAAAGGAGAATGCATGACTCTGTAACGAAACCGGTCGGCTGGAACCACCATTTTTGTTACAGATTAAATGAAATTTGAATCATCTTTGTGGTTCTTATTCTGTCTCCGTACCAAAGCCAAATAGGGGGTGTTTCTAAAGTGAAAACAAATGGTTAAACGAGAGTCTTCAGCAAATTAATGGCGAAGTTTACCGACGTGTTATTCAAAGTTCGGTTTTTGTGTCCAGGAAAATATTCCGTTACAAGTCGCTTGATTAATGGTGCTTAGGGAAATAAGGACGGTTTATTCTAAGTCCCAGATATAACACAACACACAAATAGTGTTGTGTGGGTTGTGGACAGAAGTAGATAACCGGGCTGTGTGATTATTGTTTGTTATCATTTCTGCCTTTGCCTTAATCAATGGAAGGTTAAAGCACTTTAAATTAAATAATGTCACATAAATTTTTCTCAGAATGAATTTCCAGTATCTTCCATTCTACATGGCATTTCCCTTCCTTTACGTCAAAATTATATGAGCGCCGTACTGGTGTAACAGACTGCAGGGATTTGTAAGGAAGAGTGTGAGGTAAACCTCCCACTAATTGTAATAAAGATTAATACATTCGTACTGTTTCGGGGGGAACATAACAGACGCACACACAATTATATGCTCCTTTTTACGAGTCTTTTGTAAGCTTTGAAAACAAGAGTACAGATAATTAGACCTCAATGTTCATATGTTACTGTCAAATTTAATGAAACTTATTCAGCATTTTCAAACAGATACAAATCATCTTATGTGGACTCTTTTAAGACAACGGAAAGGTTGAAAGATCTTCTTTTTATACATCATCACGGAAACTCGCAGTTTCTGTTGATGAGAAGATACAAATATTCAGTATCAGATTTCAGAGTGTGATAGGAAAATAAATTTTCACTGACATTGTTAAATGACATACATATTCAAATGTAAAACAATAGTGTTTCTAAACGAGACACGTCCTTTGTTTCAGATTACTGTTGCGTAAAGTAGTAAATTGTATACAATTCTATTGTGGCCTGTTGCGTTTAAGTGTGTGTGAGAATGATTTACTGTAGAAAAAGGTTATTTCAGTGGGGCGGAATATTGAAAAACAATAAAGATAAGATGATAAAGTTGCGTCATTTTGTGAAAATATATATTTGTTTAAATTTTTCAGTCTAATCACAAAACTTCCTATTAAATATTAAAATATTACTACAATTAACATTTAAATATTTAAAATATATTAAATGATGATCTCTATCGAAATGTTCGATTTACATTAGATCAACACTTTTTACACGACATGTTTCAGTTCTATATTTTAAATATTTAAATGTTAATTATAGTAATATTTTAATATTTTAATATTTAATAGGAACTTTTGTGATTAGACTGACAAATTTAAACAAATAAAGATAAGACTGAAGAGCAGAACAAACATTGAAGTGAACGCGTAAACTTGAGCATTTCTTTAGACGATCAGGTCAAGTGACACTAATAATAATGAATGTATAATAACGCTCGTGATAATACTGATGTCTCACATGTCATTTTTAACCATCTGTGTCGGCATTTTAAGTGCAGACGTCTGTGTCATCCCAGCAAGAAAGTACGCACCCCTTTCGTCCACAGCAACTAAAACTGATTAACATGCAGTGGATTGGGTTCTAAATTGCTTTATGAAGGATTACGTCTAAAAATATGGCGCTGATCAGAATGTAACAGCTGGTTTCATAAAAGATCAAATGCGCTATCTATCGGAATCCATCTTTAAATGGTCGCTGATGAATGGAAAAAGAACTCCTCGAACTTAGCTCATTCACTGAAAAAGTAGATGGCACAGTATGCTGAGGACAGTGCCATGCTTTTAGTAGTGGGTCGCAATTTGGGGTGGGGGGAAGTTTCAGAGATTGGAAAAATGCATGAGAATAAGCCACGGAACAAATATGGACAGTCATGAATCTTGCTGCTATGAAGGCAGGCCGTGGATTAGCAGTGACTACAACTATGTTTAGTATGTTTCTCTAATAAGCAATATCTTCTTGTCTAACTAAATTGTACACACACATTTACTCTAATCAAATTTTTAGTATTACTTTTTCACTTGATGTGATACTTCCATGAGATGTCTCCTCCCAAGGGGCAGCAAATTATTCAGTCCAGGGGTGGCAAGAAATCAAGTCCACCCCTGACACAGTTTCTTCACGATAGTCCAATTCATCCCTTAAATAAAAGTAACTGTTTTTCATCTTAAGGTAATTTTTGCGTACAGCTTATTTACTACCTGGCATCAGATATGACGCCAGTTTTGGTTACATTGTTCATAAAGGTGACTCTCAAGTGACCCACTTGCTTTCCACAGCACAACACAGCTTACAACTGATGTGCTTACAGTACTGCAGAAATTATAAGTCATAATTACATAATGCAAAGCAGTGACATCACATGCGGAGACCAAATAACAGTAATAGAAGAAAGAAAATAAAGATGATTGCAAGTTAGAATGTGAAGAACAATAGGAAAACAAATAGTGTGATAGGAGTATCCTTTTTTATCTAAAGGTACAATAACATTATTTTAAAACCTTTGGATTCTTTTACAAAAAGAATAAATTTATAATATGTATGTGTAAATTAGGAGCTTGTGAGTTGGGATAGCTCAGTCTGTATAGTGACTGTCTATGGGCTGGACGACTCGTGTTTGATCCCCAACGGGGGCAGAGGATTTTTTCCTCTAGCCTCTGCGTCTAGATCAGCTCTGGGGCCCACCCAGCCTCCTCTACAATGGGTACCGGGGTCCTTTCCCATGGGTAAAGCGCAGCCAGGGTGTGATGCTGACCACTGACCCCCATCTAGTGCCGAGGTCAAGAATGAGTAGGAGCTATACCGCCTCTCCCCACAAACGACGTGTGGCATGTAGCGGTACTGCTTTACTACTTTGTATACATTAGGAGATTCTTATGATTCTATACAGTTCAAAGGGCATTTTAAAGATTCATATCAGAATGTTGTATTTTTAATTTAAACCATCTCTCATTTAAGTCATTCATTGGGCAGTCTGGACCTGTCAAATGCCCATGGGAAACCCCAGCCATGTCTACCAAGAATGCATGGGATAAATATTCTTTGTGAACGCATATGCATTAAGTCCGAGTAGCAAATTATAAAGATTGATTAAAATGATTGCTTATGAGTGTAAGCCCATGCTAAAACAACTTTATTATGTGTGTGCATGCAGGATGAGAAGTTCAAAGGTCATATTCCTGGTAACTACATTCACATGGCTCCATCTTGTAGCTGCAGAACCTGCACCAGATTCACCTGAGACAAATGAGGCAGATCACAGCCATTCTGCAGGTTGTGACTGCATGGAATACTGGACTTGTGTCATGAGGTAGACAAGTATATGTAAACGAGCTTATATTTAGTTTCTTCTCAATTTTTAGGTTTCATCTATTTTGGCCTCTTACTTTATTATTGTTATTATTTCTTACATTGTTTCTACATTTGTAGGTTGACTTTTGAACAGGTCTCCAACTGTATCTATCTGCTCATTCTTGCATTACATTTACCCTCCTCCAGTCTTATCCTCTCTTCTCACCATCCGTCTTAACTTGGTGATCCGCCCACTGGTATCCTTCCACTCATCTTGATTTCAATCATCTTTTTGGTATTCCATTATCATCCATTCTTTTAACGCATACAAACCATTTCAATCTACTTCTCTCAATTTGGTTCTATATTTCCTCCATCTTGAGCTCTCCCCTAACATATGTTTTCCTAATTCTATCTCTCCTGGTTTTTCCCAGTATTCCCTCAGGAATCTCAGCTGCTTGTAATTCATATTTCTCTCTTTTAGTATATGTTTGTATCTCTGCTACATATAATTGTATTGTTTTAAAATAATACTTTATATTGTCTGATATTATATTCCTATTAGTGTCAGAATCTGTGACCACTTTTATGATCTGTCATGATTACAGACCTCACTGAATCTTCTTTGGCTGGTACCAAAATTGTTACAAAATGTAAATATTGATAACTGGGAACAACAATAACCAACAACTCTGAGGTTTACAATGAAATGCATAAAATATTAAAGAATGGAATGCTTGTTATTGTTGATATTGAAAGCTCTTAGAGCAGATGATAAGAAAGTAATTTTGACCCAAACTCTTGCTGAAATTAAATCATTATAGGTAATAATTAATGAAGATTGTTCATTAAGTGAATCTTGTTTTTTCCTGAAACATAATAGAATTTAAAAATATATAAAATTTTGTCAACAAATGTTAGATCATTTTTTAATTGTGGTTAGCTCATTGAACAATATAGCTTTAACAAATACAGTACTGAATTTCCTTCTCACAGTGGAGGAAGCCCATACAGCTACTGTGGACTGTCTGAGTCCAATGTATGCTGCTTTGTGCCACAAGGAGCCAAACCAGTGGGACTGTTCCCTTCCAACATAGGACGACCTAACAAAGGAAGGTGTGGCAAAAAGGGAAATGGTTCTGGAAAGGATGGAATTGCTGAACCTTCTGAGTGGCCATGGCATGTGAGTCATATGATACTATTTCTCCTGTGTCTGATGTAAAGTACAGATGTATGTTCATATGAACATAGTCAGAAAATTCAAAGGATTTATACTTTAATTTCTTGTGACTTCTTAATTTTATATTCCTCCAGGCAGCAGTGTTAGAGAAGCCAGATGACCTGTATGTATGTGGGGCTTCACTGCTAGATGAAAGCTGGGTTCTCACTGCAGCGCATTGTGTAGATGATTAGTAAGTTACATACAAATGAATTACTGAGTGTTCATATTGAGAAGCTACTTATTAATTAAATGTTAATCTGATCTCCCTCTTGCTTCTTCTCCTTCAAGCTTCATCTGTATAATCTTCTTTTTATTTTTCTCCTGCTGCTTCTTATTCTTGTTGGGGTTTTCCCATTTCTGAACCTGTTCCACTACTCATAACTGTTGATCAATCTGGTCTACTTCTTCCTGTCACATTACAAATTCCTTGTTAACTGCCATGGTTTATAGAATGCTACTGTGATATTTATTTCAGTGTGTCTACTAGAGGGGAGGCTCTCAAAGTGAGACTGGGAGAACACGACGTGACATCAACACAAGAGTTATTACGTCATGAGGAGTATGATGTAGCAAGTGTGGTGCTTTATCCAGGGTTTGACAACGCAACCCTTGCTCATGACATCGCTCTAATTCATCTGCGACATCCTGCCAAACAGAGACCCAACATTGATGTTGTTTGCTTGCCTAAACAAGGCTCCAATTTCCCAGATACAACAGCTGAGATCCAAGCACACACCAGCTGTGTCATCACGGGATGGGGTCGGCGGTCTGAAAGTAAAATATAAATATGTTACGACGTATGCTTGTGTAGCTTGCACACGCCTTAATTTGGAATGTTTGCACTATCTGTTTAAGGAGGAATACTTACTTTGCTTCACAGCAAATTAAACTTAGTCTTTTTGTTACATCAAATAAAGCACTCAATACAGAAATTCTGGACAGAGAAATCTTTCCTAAAACAGAACTTTAGTCCTTTAAAAAGTAAAAATATCAATAATCTTCCATCGGAGATATGTTAATATATTTCTTGCACTGCATTGTCATTTTTTCAGCATCTGAACACTCTGTTATTCTGAAGGAAGTGAAAGTTCCATTGTGGCAAAACTCAGCCTGTGAGAGGGCACTAAGACAGCAGTTTGGAAGCAGTTACTCATTGCCAAACACCTCCATCTGTGCTGGGGCAAAGGACAGGGATGCATGTGATGTATGTTTCAGTTCAACAAAGACTTTGCAATTTGTAAATAAATTCTATTTATAACTCCAATTTCTGATTAGAAAATGAGAAGCTGATATTCTTTCCTGTATCAGTGCTATGTACTTTTCATAATTAAGATTGCATACAGTAAGGTAAATGAATACTACTTGATTTATAAATGTGGACAGTCAGCTGGTTTTGGAACACTTGGTTCATGTAAATATAATTAAATTCACATTATGGCTTTGTCAATTTGTTTGGTACTTCAGTATTAGAATGTTCTTCACTGTCTACCTAGCATATACATATATGAATATATTCAGTTCTTGTTAAGAATGTATTGCTTCTTTTTGAACAGTTGCTGCTGACAATATTGATCATTTGCTTTGACTCTGTGTGTGTGTGTGAGCACGTGCGTTTACATATAGTTTACCAAAATATTTACAATGTGTGAAATAAAATTACTGAAAAGCAGTTATAGACATTTTCAAAGGTCTAATGCTCTGGAACTTTGACAAGTTGTAATAAAAATTAATCATTTTGGTAATTCAAATGACAACTTCAGTGTGGTATGATGGCAGAATTATTGTTTTATTATTTAGAAGTCCACATACTTATTTAGGTAATTATTTCAGAGAAATTTCAGTCCTGAAATTTCTTGTTGTATTACACTATAAAACAACAGAAATATAATATTAGTTTGGTATGTTCAACAATTCATTTCAGGGAGATGGTGGAGGCCCCTTAGTGTGTGAACAGAGTGGTCAGTGGTACCAGGTTGGAATTGTCAGCTTTGGCATTGGCTGTGGTCGCCGTAATACTCCAGGGGTGTACACAAGAGTGTCCATGTATGAACAGTGGATTAAAGATATTATCCTACGCCACAAGAACAGACAATAGTGTTTCCAAAATTATAAACAGTGGTATAGTGAGAAATTACCCAGAAGGCTGGCCCTTACTGTGGTGGTGTTGTCTCTCAGTGGTATCAACATTCTTCTTCATATTAGTAAAACTGACTCCACAGCAAAATACTTATAACAGACAGTGCCCACAAAATATGTTTGATGTTTGACTTTCATGCTGAATAAACCTGAGGTCAGATAAGATTACCAAAACTAGAGTAGTCTTTCAGACCTCTTGTCACTATTAGTGCTACAGAAAACCCACATCACCAGTAAAGGGTTAATAAGAAAAGAAAAGAGAAAAAATTATGCACAAAGTTGCCCCAACACCATGATAAAAGTTAAGAATATAAAAGTGTATATAATGAGTAAATTATGTATATATAATATTTTAATTCTGAGAGTGAATGTGCATCTTAACCAGCTCATCAATAAAGAAGAGAAATTACTGATTAAAACATTATTCAGTAATTGGCCTGACTGTTCATTTGAACATGATATCCATAATTTCAGTATATACAATCTGAATTTTATAAAACATTTGGAAGGATTCAGTATTTAAAAAATCAGTCTTCCTTATCTGGCTCTTGAAATTTTAAAATAAGTGCATAGTACTGGGAATGAAATATACCAATGTATAAAACAAATGAAAGCAGGTATTGAGACATGATATGTCTGATACAAAATGAACAGTAGGCCTACAACTTTTACAACCATGTACTATTTGAGAAAATCCTTGAAAATTTGTCACACATATATATAATGCAGTGAGTGCTCATGTTGCTGTGAGTCTGTCATGTAGTGATATATTGGCAGACATAAAAATAAGAAGAAATAGATGTGTCATAAATGAGAGATGAAGAAACTCAGCTTGATATACATGGTTGTCTGAAGAGATATATACGGATGTACAAAAGGAACACCCATGGTAGTATTTTGAAAGAAATGCTACATGTAACAAGCAAAGAAAAGATCATATGAAGGCAGGCAGTAGATGATACCATAGAATTATTAACCTATAGTGCAAGGAAACCAAAGACACAGGGGAAAGAAGATTCTAAGGACAGTAGAGACACTAAATTACTTATCTTTGAAGACAAGAAGAATACAAAGGTTACTGACAGACAAAAAAATAAAAGTGGCAGATGTGAGAATTTCAAGATCTTTACTTGGATGCATACAGAAAAAGCCATGTAATAATATTTTGGTAGATAATACACTAAACACCCATTATAACCATGGATATCAGGGGACAACTTCAACAACTGCATTATAATTCTGTAGAACAGCATCCCAAAGTGTATTTTTCAGATACTTGATGTTTGTTTACTAGTCACTTTTTACAAACACTTTCTAAATGTTTAATGAACTACAAGTTTCAGATGTATGCAGTCATCTTCAGGTATGATGGGTTTACATAGCTATTGCAATCTAGTTTTAAAACAAAGAATTCCAATCACTCTTGTTATTTTCTAAAATATTATGCATTTGTAATAAAATGTTTCATTACTAAAACTTTATGAACCTTGTAAACTTTTTGTGGCACACCTATACGTGGTTATCTGTAAAAAAAGTATTTTTTTAGTAGTAAGTTGTTTCGTTTTTATATGTAGTTGTGTGTATGAAATTGTTTTCTTACCTTAGTGTGTCTTAATGTTAAATCACACTTTGAACAGTTTGTATGTTTCTCTAAAGGAGGGGATGGTATTTATGCTGCTATGTGATTGTTTTCTAAGTATCTTTATTTTTTCTTTGAAAATTGGATTACTGTGATGTGTTAAATTTCTTGATATGTGTTTACTGTTTGCTTTCTAGGAATATGTGATATTTCTCAAGACTATCTACAATTTTTTTCTTCTGGCTTTTCCTATTATTTTCATGGTATTTTCTTTATCCCATATGTGTTTCCAGTTTTTAATGTTGAGAATAATCTGTGTTCCTTGTACCTTGTCTGGAATGTTCTTCTTGTTTGGCATGTATAGTTTTTAGGGCAATCTAAACAATTTAATTTCATAAATTCCACTGTTATTGTAAATGTTATCCATTTATTTATGTTTTGGGTCATAATTTATATACATTTAGTAATTTATGGTTCATAGTTAGATGACCAGTGATGGATCTAATTACAGTATCAGTATTATGAAGAACACAGTAAAGAAAGTAGTTTCCAAAAATGTCTGTCCAACAGTGCTCTTAAAAAGGCAATTCCCAGAGTTTCATGAATCCAGTCCATGCGTTCCCTATTTACATACAATATATTTTAATAATAGCCTTTCATCTGTTACTAAGCCTTCAAATGGTTGCTTCTCTGAAGGCTTTCCAACCAAAATATGGTATATATTTCTCACCTCCTCTATACAAGCCTCTTGCACTTAATCCCTCTTTTGTCTAAACAGTTTCCTCAGCACCCTGTCCTCAGATGCTCTTAATCGGTATTTTTCTTGTTATGTGGGAGACCAAGTTTTACATGCATATAACCTCTCTGAGTAGTGATATTAAATGATTGTATTTTATTAAGTAGGCTATCCACTATGGCAAAATGTATCTGAAAGAACGCTCTAATAGTTTTAAAAAGGTGCTGGCTGCTAGCTCAGTGTTGTATGAAATTTATGTTTTCATTTATTTCTTTATTATAATAATACTGCCTAGAGGTTAATTTGTATGATGCAGGGCGCCATAATTTGTACTGTTCACCACAGAGAGAAAGGTCAGACTATTATGATCTAATTATTAGAATGATAAAAAATCATGGTGGATCGCAATTCTCTGGGCATGTAGCACGCATGAGTGCTGGCATTTCTTGACTAGTTGAGTATTTTAGGTTTTGAAGATGGACTCTGTTACATGGACTTAATTTCGGAAGTTATTTGTCGTCGCATTAATAAACAACTAATTTGGTTTTCTATATCGGAACAAGTTCATTCTACAGTTTTCGATAGGTTGCAACAATCGAATTATTCGATAGTTTTCTTTCGATTGTGCCCAAGACAACTGTGAAGCTGAAGATTGTCATGGCTGACAGTACAGAATTACTCTTTTTCGATACATTTTCCCATGAAAGTTCAGAGGCAAGTAGAACATATGGCATCGTCTATGCGTCAGAACTGCTCCTTATGTTCCTTTATACAGTTTTTAATAAGTGCTTTACGTTATTCAGGGATTCGTGTTAAGTTAAAGGAATATTAAATTATCCCGGTTGGACGGCGTTGGCGGTATGGTGCTATACTCCCACAAGTACAAGAGAAAAGTGTCTGTGCAAAACTGTATCAGATAGTTAATTAACTTATCGTTACTCCACCGTATTGATGTGTAGTGCCTTTCCTTTGCTGTTTTATGTTTGTGAATTGCTCTTCGAGATCAGTTTCTCCCTTTCGATGCATAGATACCTGGGTGTTGGTTTATGTACAGTCTGAACCAGAAGCAATATACTGAAAAATCATTATTTATTTACAGGAACTGAATTTAGACCTTGTACAGTTTCCAAAACCTGTATTTATTAGTGAAGTTCGAATAATCCCATTGGGTGCACGTGTACAGGCAGATTTTCCTGGTGGAGTTCGACTTGGGTGAGTATTAGAGTACTCATCATTTTCTGTTACCAAAGTTCTCTGGATTTGTTTATGTGCATACTTGTCAGATAAAAGACATATTATTTACATTTTCAGTTTAAAATGCCAGATCTGATTGGAGAATGAATTATATTCAAATTTTATATTTTGTTGAATGATTACATGCTGAATTTACTGAAGTTTTTACTTTGAAATACATCATTGTTATAGTTGTTATAACCTTTTTGTATGTATCAAGCTATCTCTTTCATGTTTCAATCTTTAACATTTATTTTTCCAGAGCAACAAATCCATCACAATTTGAAATAGAATTCTTTGTAAATGATTTGAGCAAACCTGGGGCTTCTACATTTGAAAGTCTTGGAGGATTAGAATATAAGCAGAATGTTAATATTCAATTGGAATGTGATCGAAGGGTGAGTATTGCAAAACTTACTTGGACATCTGCATGGGAAGGTGCTTATGATACTGTAGGAAGAACATAATTATTGTTTTATGTTAGTACTTCATTGTTATTTCATAGTGGATTTTAAATTATGTGTTGCCAGTCTGTAACAGCTAGGGAATTCAAATACATTATCAAACCACTTCTCCAGAAAGCCTGGGAACTAAGACTTTTTGGATTTTCTTTGATGCTGGTTCTTTAATGAATGATTTTCCTTGTTATAATGATTTTTTATCCTTTTACAGATTCCCACAGATGGCTTGGTTTTGCGTGGGTGGTATACAACAATTACGTTGGCTGTATATGGGGTCCTCACCAAGTCTGTACAGGAGCCTCCTCCACCCCCTCCCCAAGGGCTGATAACTCATTCAGTCCCACCTCCTGGTCCCTGTCCAGCAGACCCTAGAGTGACAGATGCTATTGTCACCAACTCAGCTACTGC